ACCAGGAGCTTCTTCTATGGCATCAATGCCATTATCTGTCCATCAATCCGATTTAATTAATCAATCGAAATCTTTCATTTTATCGGGAATTTTTGGTTGTTCTTCGCCTTACCGAGTTGATAACATCTACACCGGAAACAAGAAGTCTACCAACGGTTATTGCCAACAGTTCCTACGTTCACAGCTCTTATTTTTCCAACAGCTAGGCCATCCAAGGGGAGGGATGACAGCCCTAGCCCAGCTAACTTCACTCTTATGATGATTCAATTGCTTACACCGGCTACTGGTTGAGCTGCTACGAAAGCAGTTACCTTTCTTACAGCAGGGCAGATGATTTCACAGTTAGCAAATCTTTCTTCTGAACTCTCACAAAAGAGCTTACTCTCTTTCGAAAGACCGGATACGGTTAGATCTAATTCTAGCACTTAGAGTGTCCTGCTCCCCCCTTTGCCATTGTCACTACTGGTACCTGACCCCGTCGGCTCGACATTTTTGCAAACACCGACCCGACCCTTACTCAATAGGGCAATTCAAAGAGGAGAACGAGGACAGCTGACTACCGCTAAAAGTCAGACTACGAGTACACATTGTATGATTGAAAACTGCCGCTGCATACTACCCGGTAATTGCAGGTCTGACTGATGCCTTCTCTCCAACAGCTGCTTCAATCAATGTGAAGTCTGACTACGAGGCCTCTTAGCCCGCAGCTGACTACTTATTGAAATGAAAGACCGAACATTTAAGGCTAACTCTTTCTCGTCTTCAAAAAAGTATCAAAATGCAGTTATATAAGCTATCACTTTTGCAATTCAAGATCAGCTCATCGAAGGGAAAAGTGAGAGTATCAAAATGCAGTTATATGAGCATCGACTTGATAATTTGCCTAGTGAGAAAGCCAGGAAAAGACCCAACAGGCATACAAACTCACTCTCCCGGGGCAGCAGAGGAAGGCAAGATTTCTTAGGAGTTTCAAATCTCGAAAAAAGGCTTTCTTTTAGGCGCTTCCTCTCCTTTCAGTCGAGCTAGGCTGAAGACTTTCTCTTTCTAGCCAAGCAAGCTTCATGCTGAAACTATCTTCCTTCTTTGTCTTTGTGCGAGACTGGGGGAGGTTGTAAGGTAGCAGGAATAGATCTACTATGCCTTGAGTCGGGTTTTCACTCCTCTCCCCTCACTACTCTCTTTGGTTCTGCCTTGTTGAGGCCAGTAGAGGTAGAATTTTCACAGCTAACTCTTCCCGGTCTCTACGATTGCTTGACTTAAACAAGTGACCTCCTTTCTTTCATCAGGTATGGTCCCAGACAACCTATTGTAAGACTGATCAAAAACTCCACGATGTTGAGCATAGCTCAGATCAGGTATATTAACCTGAGAAAAGACAAAGATGACTTGGAAGGAATCGACCCGGATAGATTATTATGAGAAAGAACTAGGCATTGTAGGTTGAGCCAAGATTCTCTGGTATAGGCCCATTAAGATTGTTATTTCCATGGTTCAATGTGTATTCAATAGCTGGTCCTTTCAACTACTATTCAAGCTCGTACAACCATGAGTAATCTGTGTATCTCAACTAGTGAAATAAGTTACTTGCCTAGTGCTACTCCTCCTCCACAGAAGACTTGCTAGAATAGCTTGCATGGAGAGCTACCACCTTTCTCTCTTGACTTTGCTTCGGGTAAACTAACTTTAGTCTCTATCCTTCTACTAGCCAACTAGGAGTTAGAAAAGCCTGACTTCACGCTTACAGGGTACTAAGATTCACTGCTTTTATCCTCTAGCCACAGACATACTTGACTACCACAGACCTCCTTTACTACTTGAACTATCAAGCCAATTAGTAACACAGGCTCCTTGTCCGGCTGGGCACTAGGATGTGAAGATATGCCGGCATTTGCTATTGGGTAGCCCTCGATTTCGAGTCGGTGATTGTAAGATCAGCACAGATCAGAACTAAAGCAGTTCTATGAGATCAGGCAGAAGTTAATAAGACAGAGCAGAAGTGAAAGATGAAAGCACTGTACCGGGGAAACAAAATCTTTCTAGTTCTGCTAGCCTCTTACTTAAGCTGTGAAAAAAGAATTGCTAGTGAAAGTGTTCTTTTTTTAGTCACCGATAAAGAAAGTACCCCAGCTTACCAGATTTGTAAAAAAAGGAAAGACTTTCTAATCTATTCTCCTCTATCTGAGGCAATCACTACGAACATGCGCTAACCTCATATATCTCCTTGATCGACCTCTTATTCGGGCAATGAGGGGTCCATCCATTAGATCTGCTGGTCTGCTCGGAGCGTAACCATACTTTGAGGTTTCATACGAGGAAAGGGAATTTGATAGTTTAGACCCTTAGGCGTGGATATGTCGTTTCGGTAGTAAATGGGCTAGAGCTTTTCGGGGTTCTCAGAGGTCTTGATTGAATATGTCGAAATAGGCTTTCCATAGGGCCCTTCATATGGCTTGTAGTTCAAGACTAGCAGTACTACATTTCATACCAAGCGTAAGAGCTACCGAGGGTGACTTTTTTCTTTACTCAAAAGCCTGTTCAAGCCTTCTTTAATGGTTAGACTCTAGCCTCTAATAAAGATCGAGATAAGGGCATTTCTTTGAGAAAGTATAGGAGAAGCTTGATGCTTCAGATCCAACCCCGACAACTCAAACTTGTTTTTTGGCTAGCAAGAAATAGGCACTTGTTCTTACCTATCTAAACTCTATTTTGGCTTGCTATAAGATTAGTACTGGTTCTTACCATCAATCTCTTTCCTATCTAGAATGGTGGGTACATCAATTCTTGTTGATCACATTCATGGGGGAGAAGCACTGAAGGCTCTAGTCCGGGGGTTTCTTCTTCTTCGATTCAAGCAAGTCGACCATAAGGTGAATCGATGACCTGACTGAAGCCATTCCTAGCCACCATTACTTTCGAAAGAGTCTGTCTTTACTTTACCAGCTTCTCTAAGATATCAATCACTAAACTAAACAAAGTAGCAAAAATCATAAGAGAAGAAAAGTTCACAGAAGGTTGAGAAGTAGTACGCCCGGTTCACCAGGTTCTACCACTGTAGGGCCAAATCATAGTCAAAAGAAGAGTTTGATCCTGGCTCAGAAGGAACGCTAGCTATATGCTTAACACATGCAAGTCGAACGTTGTTTTCGGGGAGCTGGGCAGAAGGAAAAGAGGCTCCTAGCTAAAGGTAGCTTGTCTCGCCCAGGAGGTGAGAAGAGTTGAGAACAAAGTGGCGAACGGGTGCGTAACGCGTGGGAATCTGCCGAACAGTTCGGGCCAAATCCTGAAGAAAGCTAAAAAGCGCTGTTTGATGAGCCTGCGTAGTATTAGGTAGTTGGTCAGGTAAAGGCTGACCAAGCCAATGATGCTTAGCTGGTCTTTTCGAACGAAGATCTTCGAGAACTCATATTGGACCGGGAATAAAAAAGGGACAAAAGTAAAGTATAAGCGCATATGGCACGAAAAGGAAATCCAATTTCGGTAAGACTTGGTCTGAATCGTAGTTCAGATTCAAGTCGGTTAAGCGGGGGCGGCCGCGGAAGAATTAAATTATTGTTCCAGTTAAGCGCCAGACGGGCGTGCATTCCATTTTTAGTTCCCATAAGTCTTCTTATTTTTTTTTATCTTCTTTGCCTCCAAATGGGGGCGCACTCATTCTTTTTTGATTTTGTCTCTAGGGTGGCCGGCTTCCTCGGAGTGAAGGCCGTTTCAGTACTGTTTTTAAAAATGGGCTGCCCCGCAGCTCTGGCCTTCGTGATTGGCTGTGCTTGCCGAGCACTCGTCACTCCGGAGGCAAACGCCTCCCTCGGGCATTGGGTGCTTCCCGGGCCTTCTCACCAGCCTCACGTGGCAGAAGAGGTTCCCCACCAAGAGGGCCTGCGGGACCATCCTGTAGCAACCCGAAGCGCTCCGCCAGTGGATCTGGAGGTTAAGCAGCCGCTTATGGGCGACCAACAGCGGCACGAAGAGCTGGCAAATCGACTCAATCACCACTTCCTTGGCAAAAGTGAACAAATAGGTAGCCTAGCCTATGACGATTTGTTGGATAAACAGATCCTCATAGAGGAAAAGCTCGAAATAGCGCTACTTAACGAGGGTTTTAGTAGAGACCGGATTTTAGCGAATCGCTATGAAATTAGAGAACTTATATTTTATAAAGAGGGAGTTCCACTCAAGGAAGAAACGCTGGGGATGCACTTAGCCCAGATCCAAAGCGATCCTTTCTCAAACATCCCATATCGTAAAATCCAGCGATCTATAAGGAATTTGGATCTGTTTTTTTCTAAGTAGAGGAATTATACGGTTGAAAGGGATGGTGAGTGCCCTGGGATTCACAGACAGATGTGGAGTCGTAACAAGGTAGCCGTATCGAGGGCGCGGCTGGATTGAATCCTTTCATTTCAGGGGGGGAGCTCATGCTTGTTGGGTATTACCTTTCCTGGAGCCTCTTCTCACTCACACATCATATGATTGTGTGGTGGGCGGCATTGCGGGCCGACCCGAATCGGCGTGGACCCATTGAAACTAGGCTATTCTCGGATATGCTGTTGTCATTGGGGATAGTACAGTTGCGAGAGAGTACGCACTGATCCTGCGCTGCTTACAAGTAAAGGTTTCCGAAAGGAAATCCCTACTTTCAGCACGCGGGGATCTTAATAGGATTGACAGGGGAAGGGTTATGGCTAAGGTTTCAGAATCCTCGCCATCTTTATTTATGCCTTACGCGCAGCATAAGTAGAGGTCACAAGATGATCTAAAGTCCAGATAAACCAAACCAGGAAACGCAGGCAATGGGGGAAATAACGACCTCTGGGGGCACGGAGTCGAGTGAGGCCAGATCTGAGAAAGCCGGAAAGCGCAGCAACCAGAGAACCATAAGTTGGAGTGCTGCAGCTCACAGAAAGAGACGTGGGAAGGGGCTTTCGGCCCGTGGACCCAGGCACCGATGCGTAGGCGGAATCCGGCTAGGGTGGAGACGACGAAAAGAGGGAAGGCTTAAATAAATAATCTGGTCTGGTATAGTAAGCCATTCTGACTTCCTTAAATAAAGAATAGTCAACATCGCGGAAGTAATGAACAGCGTGAAACCGCCCCCAGCACGAAGAGTGAGATCTTGCCTATGCAGTAGGATTCAAAGGAAAGTTATCCGAACAGTGAGACCCGGGAAGACTACTACTTCTGTATTAAAAAAAAAAAGAAAAGAGGCGTTTGAAGCATATTTTCAAGCAGGGATTGATAGGTAGAGGGCTCAAAGCGGGACAGAAGGGCTTACAGGGCCCTGGGCTAAAAAAAGTCAACAAATTCTTTAAGCCAATCCCTTGCTGCTAACTAATGGCAGCCCCTTTATTGCTCCTTCCTAGGAACTCAGTAACGCGGCCAGTAAGTCAGCAGGTATTGAGGCAGGCAGATCTTTTTTTAAGTCGGTAAGGCAAGGAAGGCAGGTTTCAGAGCTCGGCGGACGAAGACTTCCAACGCATATAGGTGACTAACCGCCTGTTCTCTCGGAAAGTAGAATCGCAGATTGAGCCTGCTCCAGCCCCAGCTTCTATTCAACTGCGTCTTTGATGGCGCGGTTGTGTTGCTGCTGCGTAGTAGAAGGGTTGGGTTCTCTGGGGTTCAACAATGCGTCGGGCTGCTCGAAGGACTCCACGAAGAAAAAGCTGCGTAAATGATTAGCCCGATGAAATTGCTCTGTGAAAAAGGGGCCAGGGTTCCATGGGGTTCAACAATGCTATAGAAAGAAGGGAGAAGAGCAGGGTAAAGGTTCAGGGCGGTTACGATATTTGTGGCGGGAATGCGTGAGGGTCTGCAAGACAACGGGCACAAGGAGGCGACTGCCAATACTTCCGACTCTTATTCATAGAGATGACGAGTCTTATTTTCCTACTACTATAGGGAGGATATTTGGTTGCGCGAGACGATTCATTGCGCGAAGGGATTCTATCCTTCTTTTTTTCCGCGAAGACTTCGTTCCGGAGGACGGGCTATATTCCCTTTAATATTAGTCTAGCCCAGTCTAGGCCAACCATATGGCGATGCGGTAGACCTCCCAGAGATAGATACTTGATCTTAGAGGATTCACACGTTCAATGGTGGAAACTTAAGGAACCGGCTAAGAGTGACTAAACGGAAAAACCCTATTCATTCCATAGCCTCATCCGGTCGAGGCATTAAACAATCCATCCCAATCCTCTTTCCTTTGGTCTACTCTAATGATGTGCCCGTTCGTTGGTGGAATATCTCTTTATACCGACGATTTATATGGGGATTGCCAACGATAAGGAGATTTACCCTATGATGAGCTCAAAAGTGAATGAAGACAAGGGCGAGCACTGGTGCTACTGGCATGGGCCTCTACCCCTGTGTAGTCTCTGCCCGCCAATAAACCATTTGAATACCAGGAAAGATCAGATGCGCGGAATCGCAATTGGTTAAGGATCACTGAATTACCGCTCCGTGGGCTATTACTATTGGGATAACTGAATACTTGTATGCCTCTATCAATGTAGTAACCATCTTTCTATAATCTGAATGTGAAAGCGGAGTAGCTCGCCGAATCCAAAGTGTCTATCTCCGCCGCCAGACTGAACTATCTGATGGGAAGCCTAACGACTGGTTACGGTAGCGTAGCTAGGGCTATGAAAAGCAAGGCAGTCCCTAGACTGTGAGAAAGCCCTAACACCTAACCTTTTCCTTGAAGACCCTGTATTTTCGGACCAAGCAATCAAGCAACTTGTCTTGATTCTCCTAGTATCAAGTAGTAAGGGATCAAAACAAGGGAGGAAGAAGTAAAATGCCAGTCTCTTTGATAGGAGTAAGCTCGGAATTGAGGCCAAAAACCCTTTTTATAAAAACTATTTAGATTAGGAAAGGAAATAGTTTCTCCCAACGGTCTTAGAAGCGCTCTCCTTTGTTAGCGAGAATGCCCTATGCAGATGAGGAATTGCACAATGTGCTATCGAATCCGCTGTTACTGCCCGAGAAGGAACTGTTTGAAGGACAACTAATGCAAGCTGCTCGGGAGGTTTGGATTCATAGATGGGAAGAATCTGCTCTTCTCTTATCTTTGCGGGCCCGGAGGGAGCTGCTAAAGGAACTGCCATAGTTTATTTACGAGTAAAGGATCTAATAGTAGCAGGAATATGTCCAGAATCTGATGCTAGTTTATAAGTCCCTGCTTTGGCTGCCCCTTTCTGAATCTAAGAAGAGGTTGGTTGCATGTCTTAAGCCTGATTATGGATTAGATTAGGTTATGACTCTATAAGGGCTTACGACGAATAGGCTCTTAGATGGGGCATTACCGGAAAACTAACTATCAATTGAATAAGAAAAAGGGGAGACCCTATCTTTCTTCAGAGCAATCCCACTCTAAATCGACAGAGATAGATGGAAGAGGCCTACGTCTATTTTGACTTTTGACTGGCAGTGGAGAAACCGGAAAGTGCTCACCGGCGACAGATTGACACGTATGGGAATGGACTTTTCAGGTGCCCAATGTGCATGCAAGCGGGCAGAGGAAAGACACACGCATTTGTGTTTTTTAATGTCCAATTTCGTCCATGGAATTTCGGATCTAATAGCATGGATTGAAAGAGATTGGGTTCAAACGGGTAGGACACCAAAACTCAATTGGTTACTGAAAGAAAAACAAAAAATGATCACAGCTCAAATCTGGTGGTCTCGGAACTATGCGATATTTTAAGACAAACCAATCCATAGAGGGAGTCCGTACTGGTGCATTGATACAGCAGACCAAAATCCCTAAAATTCCGTGGAAGCGGTTCTGGAACAATTCAACCTGCAGCATAGAGTGAGTCGACAACCCAGAATGACAGAACCCAGATAGAAATAACTGTGCACAGTTACATTACGACGGTGCGAGCCGAGGAAACCCCGGGCGGGTCCTTCACTCGACTAACCAGCGATCCTTCTTCCTCGCCGTCTCCTTCGCCCTTTCCGTTTGGTTTGCAGCTCCGTCACCCGTGTTTCCCTGGAGCAGCGCTTCTTTCCGGTGCTCCGATGCTCTCTGCCTTGGTAGGGTTCCTCTTTAAGAAAAAATCGCATTAATGATCTGCCTTGCCTTATTTCCAGCTGTTGAATGGAGTAATCTGGGAAGGGATCTTTTGCCAATTCCAGTTAGTGGAGCGAAGCCTTCCAATATGGGGCATACGAGTCAGGGGGAGCTAATGCTTGTTGGGTATTACCATGGAAAGTAAGGATGTTTCATTTGGTGATCGTGATAGGGATGAAGATCTCGATTATTCAGATTATGATCTCGATCTAGTCGACTCTGTTTATTCAGTAGATCTGGCCGGTTGAACGCTTTCTAGCAGCACCAAAAGCTTGGGTAGTGGGATGGGGGTGAAACCTGTTCTGGCTCTTGGTTTATGAAATCCCGATTTGAAGACTAGGGCCCTTCTTCTCTTCTTCTTGTGAGCTAGTAGCAGTTTTATCAGTTTAGATAGTTAGGGAGTCTTCCATTGAAATGAAAGTTTAAAAAGGCAAGCTGGGGAAGACAAGTTAGCGCTCTCCTCTTCTGGCTAGTTAGTTTGAAAGCAGCAGTCCTTTACTTAGGCAAGCTAGCCAGTTAAGTTATATGAGTAATTGAGTAATAAAGGAAGAATTACACTCGAACAAATGTGAGAGGTTATGTAATAGGGTAGGCAGGAATTGTCATTTGAGTGCTTTACGAAGGGTCTTTTTAATTCCTTCAACAACTCAAGCAACGCTCATAGAGTCTTGTTGAGCAGCTGAATAGCCTTCTCCTATCTTAATTGAATAGTTTCCCCTTCGTAATATCTTTACTCAAAAGAAAAGAGCTCCCACCGCCGATTGTAGATTGAAGTGAGTACCTCCTCTTGTCGACTCTGAACGAATGCTAGCATGGTGCGGGGCAGTCGGATTCTATTCCCTCTCAGAGGCCATAAAATTAGAGTCCTCGGGGAAGCCTTCTCTATTCACTTCTTACCCGAAAAGAGGGAATCGAAGCACTATAGCTCCGCTCAAACGTCCCTTTATTCGGGGTTCACATGTGCTTTTCGATACTGTACGGGTGACTTAACACCAACCAAGTTCAAGTTTTTCAACCCTTAGCACTAATATGTACTAAGGCTAAGGAGAAAGAAAGTGATTTGTTGCATCTTTTCTTATCTTGAAAAAGTCTTAAAAAGAAGAGATTTCTCTGTTATGTTAAATAAACGAGTTTGCTTCTTTATTCTTAGTTTACTCTTAGTAGATTCATTGAATAACTTCTAGTCTTTTTCTATTCTATTTTTATATAAAAGAGTTCCAAGTACCATAGCATTGCTAGTTCAGACTAAGATTATAAAACCTTCAATATAGTTGAATCGTTAGATGAATGTTCCCGGTATTGACAATCTTTCATAGGAAGAGCTGTCATCTCTATCTTCCATCATCCATTCCCTGTAATCAGTCCTAGGATCCAAGGCACTAATGCTAAGGCTCAGATTCATACCCAGAAGAGACTAGACTGCTATTAAGCGGTTAAGGTAGAAGATCTCAAATCATTAGCTTCGGTGAACAAGATCAAATAGCTCCTCTTTCAGGTTATAAACTAGAACTTGCACGAGGTATCAAATGTATCAACACTTGATTTCACCAACAAATATGTATAGTTGTAGATTCCGCGAATCTTTTATGTTCTACCCAATAGGCCCCGCTTGCCCAAGCCCAAAGGCCAGTTTGAAGAAGGTCCGTGAAAAGTAAACGAAACTGCCGTGTTCTAAGGGCCGGGACAGGCTAGGCAATTAACCCCAGAGAACCAAGGAATGGAAGCAGAAGAAGCATTATAAGCTGACGGCTTTACTCATCCTTGGTTGCTGCCTCGTCGCCGAAGCGAGTAGAGAGAACATAAGAGTATATCACACTCACTTCATCTAAATCATTTTTTTAACAAAAAAATCTAAAATAAAGAAAGATTCCCTGCTGTCTATCTGTCCCGCCATAGGTTTTTCTAAGGCTCAAAGTCCAGAGTTCTTTGACG